CGCTCATGTATTACGTGAAGATTGAAAAAGTATGAGAACATCAAAAGTATGAAACAATTGCTTGGCTTGTCATCGGGGTTGTGCATGATTTAAATATTTTGTGTGGTGAAGATGGAGCATAGCCAGACTATATGATTTTGTAGGGATAACTCTCTTTGGCCATGTTATTTTGAGAAGACATGATTGCTTTGCTAGTATGCTTGAAGTATTATTACTTTTATGTCAATATTAAAATTTTATCTTGAATTTTATGGATCTGAACATTCATGCCACAATAAAGAAAATTACATTGAGAATTATGCTAGGTAGCATTTCACATCAAAAATTCTATTTTTATCAATTACCAACTCGAGGACGAGCAGGAATCAAGTTTGGGGATGCTTGATACGTCTCCAACATATCTATAATTTTTTATTGTTCCATGCTATTATATTATCTGTTTCGGATGTTTAATGCGATTTAATATACCTTTTTATATTATTTTGGGACTAACCTACTAACCAAAGGCCCAGTGCAAATTGCTGTTTTTTGCCTGTTTTAGTGTTTCGCAGAAAAGGAATATCAAACGGAATCCAAACGGAATGAAACCTTCGGGAGAGTTATTTTTGGAACAAACGTGATCTAGGAGACTTGAAGTGGACGTCAAGAAAGAAGCGAGGAGGCCATGAGGCAGGGAGGCGGGCTCCCCACCCTCGTGGCCCCCTCGCAGCTCCACCGACGTACTTCTTCCTCCTATATATACCCATATACCCCAAAAACATCCAGGAGCACCACAAAACCCTATTTCCACCGCCGCAACCTTCTGTACCTGTGAGATCCCATCTTGGGACCTTTTCCTGCGCTCTACCGGATGGGGAATCGATCACGGAGGGCTTCTACATCAACACCATAGCCTCTCCGATAATGTGTGAGTAGTTTACCACAGACCTTCGGGTCCATAGTTATTAGCTAGATGGCTTCTTCTCTCTCTTTGAATCTCAATACAAAGTTCTCCTCGATTCTCTTGGAGATCTATCCGATGTAATTCTTTTTGCGGTGTGTTTGACGAGATCTCATGAATTGTGGGTTTATGATCAAGATTATCTATGAACAATATTTGATTCTTCTCTGAAATCTTTTATGCATGATTTAAATATCTTTGCCAGTCTCTTCGAATTATCAGTTTGGTTTGGCTTACTAGATTGATCTTTCTTGCAATGGGAGAAGTGCTTAGCCTTGGGTTCAATCTTGCGGTGTCCTTTCCCAGTGACAGCAGGGGCAGCAAGGCACGTATTGTATTGTTGCCATCGAGGATAAAAATATGGGGTTTATATCACATTGCTTGAGTTTATCCCTCTATATCATGTCATCTTGCCTAATGTGTTACTCTGTTCTTATGAACTTAATACTCTAGATGCATACTGGATAGCGGTTGATGTGTGGAGTAATAGTAGTAGATGCAGAATCGTTTCGGTCTACTTGTCGCGGACGTGATGCCTATATACATGATCATGCCTAAATATTCTCATAACTATGCGCTTTTCTATCAATTGCTCGACAGTAATTTGTTCACTCACTGTAGAATTTGCTATCTTGAGAGAAGCCACTAGTGAAACCTATGGCCCCCCGGTCTATCTTCCATCATATTATTTTCCTATCAACTTGCTATTTTTATTTTGCAATCTTTATTTCCAATCTATACAACCAAAAATACAAAAAATATTTATCTTATTATTTTTATCAGATCTCACTTTCGTAAGTGATCATGAAGGGATTCACAACCCCTTTATTGCGTTGGTTGCGAGGTCCGTGTTTGTTTGTGCAGGTACGAGGGACTTGCCTGTAGTCTCCTACTGGATTGATACCTTGGTTCTCAAAAACTGAGGGAAATACTTACGCTACTGTGCTGCATCACCCTTTCCTCTTCAAGGGAAGACCAACACAAGCTCAAGAGGTAGCAACACCGTACACATGCAAGTCTAATAGAGTAGCAGCAGAAAGTAAAGACTTTTGCACATGGAAGTATACTGGAACGGTTTGGAGATAATCAAATGAGACACTGTGATTTTTCGTGTGATTGTAATAGGTGGTGCTATCATACGTTCAACTTGATGGAGACTTCAGCCCATGGAGGGTAACGGTTGCGCGAGTCCACTGAGGGCTCCACCCATGAAAGGTCCAGAAGAAGCAACTTTGTCTATGTCATCACGGCTTACCCTCACGAAGGACTAGCCTCACTCGGGGTATATCATCACCAAGTAGGCGATCTGCTTGCCTACAAACTCCTTGGTTCAACTCCACGAGCTTGGAGGCTGCCAAGTGACACCTAAACAATCTTGGAGACACCACACTCCAAAAGGTAATATAGATGTTGTTGATGATGAACTCCTTACTCTTGTGCTTCAAAAGATAGTCTCCTCAACACTCAAACACTCTCTCATAGATTTGACTATGTGGTAGGATAGGGATTGGAGTGGAAAGCAACTTGGGGAGGCGAGAGATCAAAGATTAAAGGTTGGAGTGAAATCCTCTTGATCTCAACATAAGTGTAGGTGGTTCTCTCTCAGAAAATAGATACGGGAAGTGTAAGCTTTTGAACTGGTTGTTCTCTGAGTTTTGGTGGAATGGGTGGGGCAATATATAGCCATCACCAAAAATCCGACAGTTACACACCTTTATGCACTACTTGATGGGACCGGGTGAGAACAGTGGCTGAGACTGAACAGTAACAAAGTTTGAAATTTAGGCTTTTCGGTGAGACTGGATGAAACCTCTCGGTGGGACCGAGCGAAGCTGACCTAAGCATTCGGTGTCACCTATTGAAACTAGTCGGAAATTCTGAGTTGATTTCAGTTGGTAACAAAAGGTTGACAAGTGCTCTTCGGTGGGACCGAAGGGTCAACTCAGTGAGGCCGAGAGGCTAGGGTTTATGTAGTGGCTATATCAAGTGTATCTCGGTGAGTCCGGTAGAATGAGTTTCGGTGAGACCGAGATGAACTTAAGGGTTTTGGACATAGATGAATGTGAGAGTGTGGCTGAGGGTTTTGGAGCAATATCTCTCAGCACTTGAGCAGTTAGACCATTATCAAAACCTCATCCCCTTTTAATAGTATTGGCTTTCCTATAGACTCAATGTGATCTTGGATCACTTAACTAAATATGAAGAGCCTTGAAGCTTTGTCAACATATGTCCTTTGCATTTTGAGGGGTCCACATTCACATCTCATTGCTATACCTATATTGAACTTTCTTAAAATATTCTTTGAGTAGGCATTAGTTCAATAACATATATGTTGTTATTAATTACCAAAACCACCTGGGGATTAGATGCACTTTCAATTTCGAAACACAAGAATTCTGTAAGAGTTTATTTTGGATGATTCGCGGGAAATGAACAGGTTGAGGACTGGTGAGAGGTAGAGTTACCTCTCGTGCTCATTGTACTGCCATGATTTATTATGAATAGATTGGAAATTTCTCCACATAAAAGAAAAGAACTGCATTAGACTCAAAGAAATAAAATAAAATAAAAACCAAAAAAAGGGTTCAAGGTTATGTTGAGATTCTATGGAATGATGGCCTAGGAATATGGCAACCACAAACCTATGATGCAAAGTGCTTCCGTGGAAAAAACAAATTTATGAATTAGAATTCTCTAACATTCTTAGGAGTCTTTTAATCCGAAGTGGCCTCAATCCTTTTTCTTTCTTTTGAGGAATTAGAGACATCAATAATTGAGAATCGATTAAGACACACCGTGGTTACGGGTACAAAAGTACAACATGATGGCTCAATACATAAATTTTCTTTATGAGGGATGTCTCAACATAGTTCGACACATGCATGCAGAGGAAGCGACGCAGGCAACACAAGAGCTTTATAAAAAGGTACGTTGTACAGGCTAGTTCATCGAACTAGCACATCACCGACCGGCATGTAGTAGCTCGATCGTTTAGAAAGGCATAGGGTCAACGGACGGCTCGTGATCAAGGCCATCTGTGCATGTGATACGGTACGCACGTAGGTCAGTTAACTCCGGTACTCCATGTCGTAGCTGCGGCAGGAGGCGCGAGATCACGGGCTCTTGTGCTTGGCGCCGGCGCCCGCTGCATGGGCCGGAAACCATGAGCGCCCACGACGGTGGGCATTGGGGAAGTAAACTAGTCATATGCTCATGCGTCCAGACGAAACTTCCGGCCACCGCCTAAATTTCCGAGAGCTCTGAATGCAACGGCCAACGGCCGGGTATCTAGCTTTGCTGGTTGCGCAAGTTTTACAATGTGAGTGCGTCCGTGGGAGGCTTAATTTGATCAACTCAAGCTTGAGTCAAGCTAGCTAGTATTTGCTTGAAGGAATTTGGAGAACAAAATTAATAGAGGAACCAAACGGCAAACAAGAAGATTTGCAAGGACGAACCGATCGACTTTTAGAGTATGTAGTCTACTCTTTGAAGCTCAGGTAATACATCTAGGTCTAACCTAACTGACTTTTGACTACATCTTGGACATGTCTGTGTTATAATCTTATAGAGTTCAAGTACAGTTTAACGTGCACTTGCCACGTGAACTTTGTCCTAGATGCACAACGAACTTACAGCCCTAGCTAGCAACCTACACTAAAACTCGAGGCCTAGTGATGCATACTGTCCCCCGATGCATGAAAAGTCGAGCGATCTGCCTCGTTTTCATTCCCGCAATTAAGGGCAAACTCACGGTTTCAAAGATTCGTTGCATGCACGCAATCAAAAGCACACCGCGCGCGGAGCAGCAGGAGGCTTCTTGACCGCATGCACAACAGACAAACTAATTCCCTCTTGGCCTCTCGTCTCGTACGTGTGCAAGCTAGGGCGGTGCACGCGTGCAGCGGGCTTATATATAGAGCCAACTGAACCGGCGGAGTCCCACCACCCTACAACAACCACACACGTACACTACTTAGCACGAGCTTTCTAGTAGCTAGCCCTGCGTAAGTACGTAACCGTGCGCGTCTTCAACCTCCTCACCGCGGCGGCCCCGGCGGAGATGTCGCCAAGAAAGACGATCCTCGTCGCGTTCTTGCTCCTGGTGGCTATGTCGACCACCGTGCTGACTTCCGTCGACGCCGCAAGGAGGCTGGGGCTTGAGCCGGAGGAGCAGTACAGCGCGACCGTCCCCGCGACGTCGGCGAGGCTTCACGAGAGGGCGAGGTCGCTGATCACGACGTGGATGGCGCAGCTCACGGCAGGGCCGAGCCCTAGAGGCCCTGGGCACTAATGAGACCGAGGTGCAAGAAACAACCCGAGAGAGAGTATTCCTATACTTAAGTTTGTACTTTTCCCTTGCATTACCATGTGTAGTGTTACGTACGTTCCTACATGTTACTCTTTTGATCGGTACATGTGTACGAACAATAATACGGAGGCTAGCTTCCACGCCTCCACACGGCGGTCATGTGATGATCTTTTCCGCAACGTCGCCCGGAGTAATTGCACGATCAATATAAGGTCGATTGCTTCTCAGTCTAATCTTGAATTCTTGATAGTAGATGTAATGAAGTTGAGTATATTTTACTTTATACCCTGGTGATTTTATGACAGCTTTCACCCTATTTAAATTTGTTTGCCACATTCTACCCGACCGTCCGACAAATTTTAACTACTTTTTTCTGTTATCAAATTGAAGTCCTTGGTGATATTAGAACCACATTCCTCCTGCATCCACCGGAGGGCGGCGTAAGCAAATCTTGTTGCTGCATCTGGCCCTCTGTCTCACTGAAAAAACCTTGTTTAAACTCATAAGCTTAAACAAATACCGGCCGAAAAATCGCTGATGTAGACCAAAAGACGCCAATGATAACGATCTGAGTATATCACGTCCCGGGGTAGCTAGCACTGAGGATGTGCAGAAAATAATCATAACTCTGGCCATATAGAGGCCAAGACACCACACGTCCTCATACGATGACAAACAACATCGTTGGAAACGAGGCCAGGAGATGGTGATCTTATTTCTCAGTGCCTATGGCGCCATCGCCTTACCACCGCTGGTCAAACACCTAGACTTAAGGCGAAACTATAGCTAGTGCAACCAGAGACGACACAACCACCCTGAACTGTGGTCGTCCCCACCTAACCAGCACCCGAAGGCGATGAGAACTGGCGACGATGGAAGCCCTAGGAGGAAACCTTACCACCCTTTTCTCCCTAGAGGTGGAGGCGTATAGGAGAGTGTCTACATATATAGTTCAGTACAAGAATACGATCATAGTACATGGTTCACCAATGGCCGAGACAAGCCTAGGGCAACTACACTTATAGCCCTAACCCTAGTATCAATATCCCTTCTATTTTCTTCCTACAAAGTATTAAAAATTTCAAGAATTTATCGTTCAAGCTAGCTCTGCCCTACTCGTAACACGCTGCTAGCTTCACCATTCACTTAATGCGTATCCTTGCTCTGCATTTTTTTTTTCCAAATTTCCAAATCAAGACTTTTCATTTTTACCTATTGTTTAATAAGAGGCACGTGCACGGGCTACATGATGCAAAATGCCATGGTGGAATTACAACATCTTTACTTTTTAAAAGGAAAAAATTCACATCCTTCGTGACGATGTGGTTTGCATTTTGCAGTATGATAATCTGTTACATCAGTTTCAAAAGGATATATTTTTCAACCATTTCCAAAAAAATTTACACGGTTGCGTTATAAGAGCATCTCCAATGG